TTTGTGTGCCATGCTATGTTTGTGTCTTTCACCTCTATTTACTAAGGTTAACCTGCCTAGAGTTGGGTATTTTTACCTTTGCAACTCTTCATCTGAGTAAGTGATCTAATTTTTTTCTCACGGTTTTACTGACTTCTAGTTCTTGACTTGAGACTGTTGAAGTGTTTCTGGTTTGCTAATTTGTGCTTAAACTTCCTGCCAGACTCAGCCAGGCCAGGCCATTTGAGCTGTCTGCCTTCATAGTCTGCCTCGTGTCTGCTCTTCCTGTCAGCTGTGTTTGGGAAGCTGACTTTCCTAGGAATCATCCTCAGACACTGAATTTTTTTCTTTTTCTATTTTTTGGCTAAGCTTGTTCTAACCAAAGGAGCCACTGAAGAGGTGTATGAGTGGGCAAAACAGTTGAAAGAGAAGTACAGGGAATAGTAGGATTGCTGCTGTCTGGACTCCTGCGTTCAGGATTCATGTTCCTGGGTAAATTCCAGAAATGGAGTGTGGGAGAGTATGGTCAAATTCATGTGCTGGAATTCAGAGATTTAGAGTCTCGAGTTCTGGAGATTTCCCTCAGAGGTCTTGGGGTACATGGTCAGCAGGTCTGTGTTCAAGGAGACCTTGTTCTTCACTCTGGCACTGAAAGGATGGCCGGTGATTCTGGGGCCTTCAGCCCAGGTCTGAAAGGTATTTTGGTTTCTCGCTGCAATTGATTTTGGTGTGTTCAGTGATGATGAAAAATTAATGATTAATGAACCCATGAAAGTAACACAGCTCTTGTTGGTCAGAGTAGGAAAACAAACTGCAGAAAGGAAAGGCGCTCTTTTAAAGATGTCAAGAATGACTATATTAATGCAAAATGTGAAATATTAGTTTTTCCAAGAAATACAGGGCATAAGTACCTAAAGCAGTTCTCACCTCAGCAAATAATTTAATTTTTTTTTCCCTTGGTTGCTGGTGTTGTTCATCATCCTAGTCATACAATGACTGTCTCACTAAACCAGAACTTCTTCATTACAGTCATAGATATTTCTGCTTCCTACCTTATTGCTTCACCCATCATGCAAAAGTCATCATATACTACATTGCAGCCCAAATATTCCATCTCTAATGAGAATACATAAATTATTTTGATTTGTGGTTGTGTTAGATTCTGAAAGCTTGTCCTCTGCTCGTGCCACAGAAATCATCCTTACAGATATTGCATGCTACATACGGGTTAGAGGGTCAAATTTGGCAGTGCCTTCAGAACTTAATGATTCTCATCAGTGCTGAGAACCAAACCAAGAAAATCAGATACACAACAACCAACTCTAGCCTAAGAAGATCAGCTACATCCAGCTGCTAATACTGCATTGATAGACTTTTAATCCCAGAATGTAAAATACCCAACCCAAGTCAAAACAAAACTGAGAACCAACTACTGCCCTAAATCTAGTGAGCTTTTATCTAATTCTTTTTCCTGGGATATAATGAATTAAACATAGTATGAAATGCAAAAAGGTTACATTGAGACATATAATATTTGAAGGTTTAATTCATTTTTCTAGTGTATAAGACACAAGGCTATTAAATTTTTAAAGCAGTGATCTCCTGAAGTCCCTACTTTATGAGGGCTTTCTTCATAAAGATAAATGGTTTCCTTGCCAAATCAAATGCAGATTTGAAACAAATTAAGTTAATGTTCAACGGTACAAGGTAGAATGGATGGGGGAACTGTTTTATTTTGCATTGTAATAACCATATACACCTAAATCAATAGCTGTGGAAAAAAAGGCAATAATATCGCGTAACTGCAGGAAATGAAATATAGTGAGATGAAGGGGGGAGCGGGTTGTGGAATGAAAGGATTTGTATTGGAATAATGACATTTCATTAAAAAGGGAAGGAGTGCTATTGAATATAAGTCCATACCAGTAAATTCTATTTCTTATAATAACACTTGAGATGAGTTAAAGTTGCCCAAGTATTGTGATAAAGTATCTTGCTGGATTTCTTTCTTATATTATGCTGTAATTTTACGTTAAAAGAAAAATTTGAAATGTTAAAGAGGCAGTGCGTGTTTTGTAAAGTGCTTTCTATTTCTCCTAATGTTTCATTTAACTTGTTATATTATCCTGGGCTCCTGCAATCTGAGCAGGAGGAAGTTTATCAGTTTCGTTCTTCGGTAAGATCGTATTAAAGAAACAAAACAAAATGAGAATCTGGCAGTGGTGAAAGGCACTGGATTGAGAGTCCTGGGGATTAAAGCCTCCTATTTATCTGCAGCACAGGCTCAGGCTGGTGAGTAACAATGAGGACTGAGAGCGGATGAGTCTGTCCTCCCTGCACTACAGGGGATCAGATTCTCTGCAGGTGTAAATCAGCAGCAGCCAGTGCTGATACACTGATACACTGGGTAGCTGAACAAGCTGCAGTCTCCTTCAAAGCATCTTACAAAGAAATCCCGGTTTCTCTGAAGTCAGTGGCAAAGATCTCACAGATTTCAAGGAGGTGGGGATTTTAACTTTGTTTTTTTCTGTGTTTCGCCCCTGAAGTCTCGCTGAAAGACTCTCCAGGTGGAAAGGAAAATATTCCATGTGCTTCACTTCAGTCATTTCCCTCAGTTTCTTCGTTCTTTTGAGGTTGTCCACAAAGGGACCAGTCCCACTGAGTGGGCAACTGAGAGACACGTGGGTGATAAAAATTAAAGTGATGCCCTACCATTTGTGTCCCTTGTGTGAGATCAAGAGGAGTTCATTAGAGGGACAAATCCATTTTTGTTCGTTTGCAGAAAGAGCATCCGCTGAGATGGGAACTTGGGTGTTGGTGTGTGGACACCTCTGTGGAACCTCTGCCAAGAGATCATCTGGAAAATCACTTGTATTTTTAAGAGTGTATAGGATTGTAAAGAAAGTAAGATTGACAGTGTCATAATACTTTTATATACAAACATTGTGGAACGTGAATGGCATCTATCTCAGAGCTTCTCTACCATTCTCATGCACTGTGTGCAGACTACATGAAACTGTTGTTACCCTTCTCAGCAGTTTTTGAACGGTGTCTTTCACCAAAAACATAAAAATGTTGTGGCAGCAGGGTCTGTGTGAGATAGCAACAGAGTTAGACCTGTGTTTCTATGTTAATAAGGAGAGGTTTGGAACTTAGCTGTAGTTTGTAGAGTTGCTCACTGTCGGGTACAGATTAAAGAGGAGCCCATCATCATGAGAACATGGTACCTCCTTGTATCATTCTCATGTCATAATATCAAGGCTCCTGTTTCTTGTGGTGTATTTCTGGCAATACCAGAAATCAAGCAATGCTTTGCTTATATTTCCTGGGTTAATTATGCAAGATTACTGTGGGCAGAAATGCATGAAAATTCAGAGGACGCTTGGATAAGACTTGGCTTTTCATTTAGGGCCTTAGAAATTGTTGCATCTTATCTCCCCATTTTTGTGCAGAGCTTGTGACTAAAATTCCTTTGAGCAGACATCTGAACGTTCCCCTGTGCACAGTTAAAGGATGAAACTTGTCCATGTGCACACAGCTCAGCATCCTCATGTCCCCAGTACCATTTGCATCTGTGCTCTTTCCTCCTCGTACCCTGCACAGCCAATGAGCCATCCCTTTGTGGTGAACCAGTGGGGGAGCTTACTTTGAATTATTTTTGTAGTCATAATGAGCTATGTGCTTGACTTGTTGGTTCATTTGTTTTAATAAGGATGGGTAAAGCCTTCTCAAGCAAATTTCCGACCTCATTCAGTTTGAAAAACCTCGTTCCTATGAGCATTCTAAAGATGTGCATAACTGTACTTGGGGTTGTCTCAGTTCCTTAGCCTGCTTTAAAAGAAGATCCGAAGAGGAGCTTGCTGTATATTGTAAAATCTGTACCCACCTCTACCAGCAGGAATTGATGCTGTATTGCTGAATGATGCAGGGTTCATCATGAGGTACCTCACCTGAGCACCTCACAGGCTGCACTTTTTGTGCAAAAAGTGTCTGTTTCAGGAACATTATTTATAGTCTCTCCTTTTGTACATTCATCAGCTAAGGTGTCACTAGACTTTTGCCAAGGGGCCAGGAGTAACTGGTAACATCTGAGGGTTTGGCTGTGTCCCATTCAGGAAATGAGTGAAATGGGTGCTGAGTGGAATGAAATATTTTTTTCAAAATAAAAAAGGGCAACCAAGTATATCCAGGCTCTCATAGAAAATGCCAAAGGGAGTTTCGTTTTAGAATATGTGCAGCTAGCCTACCTCTGATTTGTGCATTGCTATCACATTTTCTGGTCTCTGTTTTTTCTGGATAGGACACTTGGGATGTGATCCTTTCAAATTGCCTTTTAATTTTACTCCCCATGAAATTAATTATTGACAAGTCCTAGAATCTGAGCCTCTCTAACCAACTGTTCATGGATTTGTCATGTACACTTACCAGTAAAATTCACAAGTCACACTGTATTATGAACTGTATAAGTCGGTTGGAGAACAGAAAAAGTGCTGCTTGGTTTATCTAAATAATAAACACAGTTGTAATGGTAAACATTCACTCTGAACTTTCCAAGAACATCTTGTAGCATAAAAAAATTTACTGCAGAAATTCTCAGATAGTGTTTTTAGATAATGGTTAAATGTAAGAATTTCACTGTGTTGCAGGAACAGTAAAAAAAGATGAAATATATTGAATAAAGATTTTATTGTGAGTTATTTGCTCAGCTCTGTAGCACCATCAATTTTTTCTCCCTATATAAAAATAATGAAGTCAATAAATGTATTTAGGTGACCTCTGAGACTTACAAAAAGGATGTTATGAGATGGGTGAATACTGGATGCAGTATTTCATTCAGATGCCGAACAGCTGTTGTGGTAGACAGTGCTGGCATCCTATTTTTCACTCTTGATGCTGATGCAAATTGTATTTTGATTGTATATATAGTCTATCATATTGTAGGAATGTGAAAAAGACTACTGGCCTGTCAACCCTTCTGTCCCACCTGGCTGTGCCATTTTCTAACGTGTGATTGCACACAGGAAATCAGGGAGCTTGGTGACCAGTGTGGGAGCCTGCACATGGATTGCCCAGCCATTCCTGACAACCAGCCTGGTGGCTGGATTGGGCTGCAGCCTCTTCCCCAAACCCCCTGGGCCATATTGTTGTCCTGATGATTTCAACAGGCATGTGACAGAGGTAAGAATGGTTACCTGTTTGTTTTTTCCCCTGGAAAAGTAAATTTTATTCCGACGCATTTATGAACATCTGGACTCTGTCCTGACCCTGTCACTGTGGGCTGTTGATTGTTCCATCTCCTTTCCAAATGAGTGGTCCCAGCTTGCTGCACATCACGTCAGAGAGTAGCAGAGATTTGTTGTGGATCTGGATTGCTTGTGTATGTTACAGAATGTCTCCCACGAATAACAAAATGGGAGGGGATGGCACTACGTGCTTCCCTCACATGCGTGGTGCTCCTGGGAAGTCGTCTGCCTTAGTACCTGTCTTGTCATCAGTCCTAAGTGTTCACAGAAACTGTAGGAATATTTTTCAAGGAAATATACAAATTAGCACTTTAGGACTATTCCTTATGCAGATTTAATATTTATACCTGTTGTGCCTTTTTCCTTTGCAGGATGATGAAAAAGAGAGGAGATATGCATTAATGTTAGCAATTAACATCATGAGGATTCTGTGTTAGCTTAACCACATTTTCTATATATGTTTTCTGAGTTCAGTATTTATTTTCTTTTCAGTCTGACAGCTATTCAAAAGGAGGTGCACACTTTGTCACTTACAGAATGACCTCTGTTGTAAATTGACTGAGTGTGTGTGATTTGCCCTGGAGCATCTTTTTTAAATCATTAGTATAAATCAGTCAATAGATTCGTTTTAGCAACACCTGAAAAATTGCAGTAGTTTGGAAAATGTTGCATGCTGTTATATGTTATTCCCTTTGAGTTCCAATGGTCTAAAACATGAGAAAATTATCCATTTTAAAAAGTAGATTACTAGCACTTTGATTAAGCAGCTTTTGTTTTAGAGGGCTGTATGCATTTATTCAGGAGACAGTTGACAATACCTGAAGTTTTCTGCTTATTTAAAAAGTACTTCCAAAGTATTGCTCCATAACTGCTCACGCTGAAAATAAGGCTAGAAAAGGATCCTTTTGACTTGCATATGTGTGACCTCTTCCAAAACAAAGTTCCCACACTCTGGGATGTTCCAGCAGCTCTGTGTGACATTTTCTCTGTATGCTGATCCTCCACAGTTGCTGAACTACCCTGGTGGTGACCTAAGACTCTTAATATGGGAAGCAAGGGAAGGATGCTGGTTGTAGGCAAGGGATGGAGCTGAGGGTGGTGTTGACTACAGAGGGAACTTGCTTGGGAGTGAGGGATTTGTTAGTCAAAAGACAAGTTCCAGTGTGCATTTCAGCCTGTTAATGAGTCACTCGTGACTGTCGGACTCCAGGGCCTGTTCAGCTTCTTGGGTGCAATTAATCCATGGATGCTTCTTTGCACCAACCAGTTCTTTGCCACTTGCTGAATTCTTGCTCATGGAGTCCAGCATTTTTTTAAGGGAGTAGGATATCATTTCAGCCTCTGCCTTTGTCAGATTTTGTGGTTGTGCAACTCTGTGTTTCTGTTTTCTTTTCAGAGTAAGTCTGCCCTTCATAACCACAGGGAGACTGACTCCAGTGAGGCTGACTGCCATGAGAAATGCTCTCAGAATTACATCTAGGGGCCTTCATATTCATTTACTAGAGTTCTCTTGTTTGTTACTTGTGTGAATAATTAAAAATGGGGTTTTTTAGTAGTTTAGAAAATTTAATCAAATCTGAAAATACTCTTAGATCCTGAATTGGTAACAGCTTTGAAAATGCTGACCACAATACTTCCATCATCCCCAAGATGAACCTTGCCTGCCTTTCTAGCTGCACTCAGAAAACAAGCTGTTTAGAGGAAAAAGCCAGGCATTTTATTTTTTTTTTTTAAAAGTCCTATAATTAAGCAATCATAATATCCCTTTAGATAAATACGTCTTGCATTTCCATTTTAACGGGCACTTCTGGCGTTTGTTTAACTTTATTTCTTTTTCACCCCATTTTAACATAACAGAAAACCTACAGCAGGCTTTCTGAGTGCCTCCACTGCTCCAGCCTGTCACAGCCTGTGAGCTGTTCATCAGAGCCCTCCAGACTCAGGCTGGCACTTCTCACTTAGGAGAAGTGGGTTTGAACCAAAAAAAGCCAACCATTTGGAAAGATGCGTTGTTTTGCCTGTGTCCAGACCAGAATCTATTAAAGCAATTAAAACCTAATTGTGATCAGGAATCATGTATGTTCATCTCAGGCCTGGGCTGTATAAAGTTCAGTGTTCCCCTGGGGTCAGAGCTCTGGGCTGGTTTTTTAACAAGAGCTCAGCCTGCACTGCCTCTTGTTGAGAACAACAGGGGTGCTTCTCGAGATTGAAAATGCCTTTGAAAATCCCATCATGTCACTTTATTTATTTATGTAGATTTGTGTGTGCACAAATATATACAACATGCCCAGAAACAAGCACGCACACATACATGACAGCTCTAGGGTCTGGATTTTCAAAGGAGCCTAGGAGAATTCAGTGAGAGATGGGTGCCTAATTAAAATTCATATCCTTCCTGCCTTTGGCATAACTTAAGCCTACAGCTAAGTTAATACCAAAACATGACTAAAGGGCAGCGGGATAATTCAGTAAAACCCACAAGAAGGAAGCCAGGCAAATTAGCCTTCCTTTCACCAGCCTTACATTTTCACATTCTGATTTTCAAAGATGGAAGGAAAATTACAAATGAATGCCAAATCTCTTTAAAAGAGATTAGATGCCCTTAGGTGGGTTGCTTTAGATTGTCTGGGGTCAGGACCTCTCTCTGGTTGTGCGTTTGTATAGACAGCAAAAGCAGTCTGATTTTTGTTGGGACTCCACTGTATGGTTGCACTAGTGTATGAAAACCAGAGCCAGGCAATTGAGCACTTTTAGGTATCTGGAAAATCAGAGCAGAAACAGTGCATCTTCTCCCTTCAATATACCGAAAAACAAACAATCAAACAAACAGAACCCTTGCTTTAGGATCCTCCAGAATGTTGTTCCTTATCTACACATACAAAAAGAAAGTCCTGCATCTCAGAGGATTCACCAAGCCAACAGTTTTTATGATACTGCACAATATAGTTTACATTCCAGGCTTGGTCCCAGGAGGGAGGAGGGCACCGAGTTCAGTGCCAAACATCTCTGCTTTCTCTATGCATATACTCCAGATAGCCCACCAGAGTAGAAAATGGAATGCATTCATGAGAAAGCATTTTACAGCACCATGGATCTTGAAATCTTTGCTGCCCAGGACATATCCTCAACAGGTAGTTTGACAAAACAGTATAGAAGGTGATAATTTTTGTTCTCTGGAGACCACTGTGGGGAGGGAGGAATTTGAATGCCCCTCTTTCCCAGCCTGGATGAGAGACAGGTTTGCAAATCTAGAACAGAACTGTTTCTCCAGCTGCTGAATTTTAAAAGAAAGTGGCTGCGGATACATTTTGCAAGAGATGCAATCTTTCTGTTTTCCTTAGGAAAGGTTTACAGGACTGGGAAAAATTTTTAGTTCACTTGTCCTACCCTGCAACTGTTGCTGCAGTTGTCTCACTTGTGGTCTCAGACGGTACTGACAGTGGAGAACAGATTTTTAATTAAAGGGGAAAACGTATTAACAAATACCTCACATCAAAGAAACTGGTCTCTAACCTGACTAGCCCGGGATGCTTGCCCCTGCTAGGCTCCTGGACAAACACACTTCACCACTGTGATCTTAAGAGGCTGAAGTATCTTTCAGACAAGCTCATTCCTTAGACTTAATTAAAACCTAGTTCGCTCCTTTATTCAATTTATGAGGCCTAGCCAGTAGGATTAAGCGATTACAGGCAAAAAGCCCCATTTGTGAAACACTCATAAGCTCAAGCTGCTAGACTGCTCAGTTGTACTCCATTAAATTAATAAGGAATGAATAGACTGATCCATTATGAATAAAGCTGTGGGGAGCCTCAGCATTGCCTCAGACTCTCTGCACACTCCTTAGAGAACATTTGTGCAAAATGATTATGTTCATATTCATTCAATTGGAATTCTATAAAAGTGGAATGCATAAATTACTCTAAAGATGGGGAGTTTATCTTAAACATTAACTATGTGTGTGAATTAATAAGACTATTATAAAACCATTAGCATTCAGTGTATTTACCTACGTATGCTGCATACCTAAACTAAATTCAACAATTGTTCCTAATTGCTATTCTTGTTGTGTGATCAAGCTGTGGTTCATTTTCCCTTGTAGTCATAATATTTATGAATTGCAGTTTTTTCTGTTAAAACTTCTCGATCCCCCTTTTCTCCCGCCCTGCTTTACACTTGCTCCCGTAGTTTTTCAGAATATAGTAAAATACTGGGTCATTAATGCATTGGGAAGTGAGGGATGCTTACAGATGTGTTAAAATAAAACATTGGATATCATCTACAAGTATGAATGTTATCAACCAAACTTTTATCTTTTACAGAGTATTAGTTGAAGAAGGATGGCAGTGACTCCTGGGTGAGTGTCCCCTGAATCTGCTGCTGTTCTGCAGGACTCAGCAGAATCCCAGTTTCAAAACAGAGAGAGTGCAAAATTCATCCACCAGCCTTTGCCATGTTGTGAACATCCCCAGTCTGTTTCCTCTGGAAGAACTCCAAGTGACTTGAAAGGTAAAAAACAAACCCCAAAAAACAAAAAGAGGGGGTGGGTTGTAAAAAAAAAAAAAATAGATCCTGGTTTTTAGAGGATTTGGCAAACAAGGGGTTAAAATGAATGAACATGGGTTGCTAAGGTTATAAAAGCAAGTGCTCAAGCAGTGAGTGGTAGGGGAATGCTGCAGGATGAGAGAAGGGCTCAGGGCTGAGCTGCTGGGACAGACACTTTGAGCAGGCAACCTTTCCTCCTGCCCTGCATCTCCCTTTCTGTCCTTTGACACTTTCTGACAGGGCGAGCAGAGCAGCAGACCCTGTGGGGTTATTGAGTTGATTCACCAGGGACTGGGCTGCAGCAAAAAGACTGCATTATTAGGGCTGATTCGATGTGATCTCAGTGAAGTGGCAAGGAGGGGGATCTCAGCATGGTGTTATTTGCAG